ACAAATAGAGAAGCATTTTGTTTTCAAAGGGAGTTTGGAACAAAGAAGGAAAAAAAAATTGCATTAAAATTAAAAAAAAGCAATGAGTGAGATCTCGTGAGATATTTAAAACACCGTTACGAGTCAACAGATAAAACAAAATACCATTGTTGCATTGAGTTTAGATTTTTTGTGACCCTCCGTGATGAGTACCGCAGTCTGGAATTTTTGAAATCGGCTTTTCTGGAAAATATAGGTAAATATCTTAAGTAACAGCGTTCGCTATAAGCATAAGACATAACCTAGCGAAGATATTGAGTTTTAACTCTTTTTTGCGAATTTCTTCCTGGTTCTCTCCAAACAATCCCGTAAATTGCTTGCCAGCGCACAGTGTGATCAAAATACCTAAAACGTGGTTAAATATCAATATCTCTTGCAAAATGCAAAAATAGCTGTAGTGTGGTTATATTGGGGATTTTGTCGACCTTCATTAAATTACAAATATTAATATCCAAAAATTGAAAAATTCAAAAAATGGCGTATTCATTATGCGAAGACTTTTGTTAAACGTGAAGAATGCAAGAAAAATGATTATATTTAAGTTTTTTCCGATTACAAATTTGATACATTTAGACAGCCATTAGTAAAAAGCATTACTTTTAGATGCACTTCAAATTTAAGATAAAAACAAATACTTTCGTCTGATGGCGTGCAACTTACTCTTCTTATTTTTCTTAACTCTAATTACGAACGACGCCATCTGCCAAACGACGCAACCTAGTTGCGAAAGTTTACCTCACAAACAACTCACTCTACATGTGCAAACTCTGATTTTCCTTCATTGTGGAACTAACGGTGAAAACACGTTATCGTGTGTCCATGCCTATTTATGGTATACACCATTTGAAAACGCTTCGTCCAACAACCTACGTCCATAGTTTACGTGCAGTGATAACTTTAGTTGCTTTATTCGCTTATTCGCTATTGTATGACACACGTTAGTAAAAGTGGTTGTATTTTTTTCGTAGGATTGCGCTACTACCCTGTCGGCTTCGTGTCGCAACATCTTCTCGCAAAATAAAATGTAATTGTACTACTTGTTGCTAAATATTTCTGACAGTTCTTAGCAAGTTTGGTTCTTTTTTCGACATTGAAAATGCATTTTTGATGTTCAAATCACTGTAATAAAACAAAGAAAACAAAATGTCTTCGTCTTATTGCCTTTATAAGATTACCAATAGAAAACTAGATTTTTTGCTGCGGTATTGTCTATAGTTTTCTAAGTGGAGCAGTTGGAAGAAAAGTGGTTTCTACTCAATATTTTTAATATGTTGCTCCTTTACATGTATTATTCGATTGGACATATTATTTTTTATCGACAAGGATTGGGTGACGCCGTAACACCAATAGTGCCTCTTTAACCCAGCCTCAATTACAACTTCATTGTAAACTCCGGCCGGTCTTACGTACGGGATTTAATAGTCCAGCAAACAGTGTAGCTAACCTAATATTAAAAAATTTTCAACTCGAATCTGTTTTCGAATTTTGGCCGGGGTTTAGACCTTTTTCTCAATGTGCAGCGCTTTGGTAGAATAATCGTAACTGCTTCACATACAAGAAACGGTTTATCGGAGTTGGAAAATTCAAAAAACCTCCCCTGCATTTTAACCGCTTGTAAGGTGACCGCCAGGACTTTCTACAGGCTACAGGCGTGCCATTATTTATTTTGAAGGTATAAGGTCTAAGGTAAGACGTTATGACGTTCAAGGTTGGTCACGTGACTGTTTAGTGCATAACGCCACCTACTTAGCGCGTGCGTTAAAAACTCCCTATTGACTTGCAGAGCTCGCGTATGTGCGGTGTGTTGGATGATAAGATTTCGATGCGTAGTCGATTGGCTTGTTTGCATCAGTGAATATTCGCGTTCTCAATTTGAGAAATGAGTAATTAAAAACATGATAATTCTTTAAACTGCTTGTTTTTAAGGCAGAAAAATAGTAAATTAACCACCAATCCCCCTTTTAGAAATTTTAGGCACTATTACATGCTTTCAGCGTAAGATTTATTTCCATATGTTTAAACATCTTCACAACCTTCACTAACAGGCAACGCTAAATAGGCGAATCTTGTTCCTAAAATCCGAGATCTAGTCATTATGGGGTAAGTTTTTGGCTATATTAACTTGGTAAGAAAAGCTGTAAAACATTGAATTACGAATTATGAGGAGATAGGCATGATGTGAGAGGGTTGATCGTCCGGACTTTTTTGAAACCATCCCAACATTTGCCTGTATGACCGAGCGAAATCACGAAAATTCCGGTCAGATTGCGAGGGATTAGATCGAGATTTAGCCGGCGCGTCACAGCAGCGAAATCAACGTGAAATTCAATACGACCGCAGATGATTTAAACGTATTTCAAAATTCCTTTTATGGGGAAATTATGAAAAAATAGTAAAACAAAATATAGAGGATGCCACGTAACTTTAGCACGCTCCTGCAGTTTTGAGCGTTGGTAGTTATTGCAAAGCTGTTTCACGATGTGCCGAGGGAGTGGGGCTACTTAATATATGTATTTCATTTTC